TTAAAAAATATACTAATAAGAAATGTAGATGCTGTAATCATATTTATTGAAAATTGGATAAATCTAAAATATTATATTATTTAAGTTATATAACTAAGCTTAATCAAAATATTAATAGTATTTAAAATATATTATTTCATTATCTTACTTTGTTAAATTTCAATTAAAATTAAATTTAATTTATACTGATGATAGAGCATATCTTTTAGGATTTTTATAATCTTTGCAGAACATGTATATTTTTTATTAGATATAATCAGAATTAATAAAAAAATATATAGGTTTAATTATAAGCAGTAATATTATTATAAAACTCATACTTCATATTTATTTAATTTTAAAATTTAATTAATAAATATTAATATTAAATAAAAAATCATTATATATTATTAGTGATGATTATTATTAATATTATATAATCTATATTTATTACTTATGTTATACCTAAGTATTAGACAAAATTTAGAGGTTTTGCAAGTCATCTAAATGGAATAAGGTAAAATTTAGCAAAATTATATTAAAATCTTATTAAAAAATCTGCGAAATTCTAGAAAAGGTAAAATTATATTAAAGCTTATAAAAATATGAAACTATATCAAAATATTAGTAAAAAATTAGCAAAACTATAGTTTAAACGTTTTGTCAAATTTAAAATAAGTTTAGATAAGCAACTTTAGTTATACTTCTCCTGTCTTTTAATTTTATTATTTATTTTAGAAACTTAGAATTTTTTAATATAAAAAATATTATTAATCATAAATTATTTATCACATAGATAATTTTCATATTATTTATAATTTTAGCCTGAATTATAAATTCAGCCTGAATTAAAATACTAATAATTAGTATTACCAGTGATAAATAACAAATTCTTTTTAAATAAATTATATTATTTATATTTAATTTTAAATTTTAAGTATTAAATTTTTAATTAAAATAATTATAACATTTAATGTAAAAATATTGATACTTTAAATAATTATTAATAAAAGAAAATTTTTAATTTTATTTTAAAATAATTTCATTATATATTTTTAATTATAACATAAATAAAAGATTTAAAATTTTTAGTATTAAATTTCTAAAATAAATCATTTGATTATTCTTTCAAACATATTGCAAGTAAATTTACTTACAATTTTATTTAATAATTAAAATTATTTATAATAATTTTAAATATTTTTATAATAACTTATTTAAAAATTAATATATTTATATAAATTTTATAATATTTTCTAAATAAAAATTAAAAAAAAATGTAAATTTTTAAAAATATATAAATGATAAATTATTATTAAAAAATTAAAATTAAAATTTATATATTTTACTATTTATTAATCTTAAAAATATAAAAATATTATCATTTAATAGGTCTTAATGAGATAAATCCAATAAAATAAATTTATTTTAAATAATTATTATATAATATGTTATTTTTAAAAATTGAAAAATTGAAAATTTGATATATATTAATAATTATTAATTTAAAAATTTAAAAATATTATTATTAAATATATTTTAATATGACAAATCTAATAAACTTTATTTTATTTTTTTATAATCATTAGATGTTAAAATATTTTTTTTTATATGTGATAGCTTTGCATAATCTTTATTAAAAATAATATAAAGATTATAAATTACTAATAAGAAAGTATAAAAATTTCTATTAAAAAGTTAAATTAAAATTAATTTTACATTGTTTCAAATTTATTAAATTTAAAATAAGCTCAACCATTTAGTATTAGGGGCTTAGTTACTACTGATCTAAAAATTTGACTAATTAGAATTATATTTGAAAAAAAGCAAAAAAATAAGGAAAAATAGTAAAAGAATAAGTTGTAGAAATGGAGAAATCAGTTACATTAAAGTGTAATTTGCAATCAAGAAGAAAAATATGAAATTTCTCAAGTTGCTTAATGGTATAACAATGATCAATCCAAAGAAATTTGATTTTGGTATATGTAAAATAATAAGTAGAGGACAAAAGGCTAAGGACTATTAAATTATTTTTTAGAAGGTTTTGTAGTATGTTAGAAAAGGTATATAAAATAATGCCTTTGATAAAATCTATAAAATTGAAGAAATTATTATTGAATTTAATTTCTATAGTTCAAAGGAAATAATTTCTTTAATGTCAAAAGAATTTGGAATTAATTCAATTAAGTATTAAGAGAAGAATACTATAGTATCGAATATAATATTATTAATTTAATTAAAGATGATTAGGTAAGTTTAAATGTATTCAAATGTCTCAGGTAAAAGTGAACATTTAGAATAAGTTTATGATGAATCATATAAGTTAGAATAATATTTTTTGAGTATTTTAAGTGTGTGAAGAAATTCTAATAAAAGTTTGACTTTAAATTTTCAAAGGGAAGAAGTCTTGTATGATGTGTGTTAAAATATTTTAAATATTCTTAAATATTTTATAAACAATTTTATATTTATAATTTAAAGAATACTATTTTCTAAAAATAAAAATAAACCTTTATTAAATGATTTTATTTAAAATATTATTATAAAAAAAAGATTAAAATCATATAAAATGAATTTTTTATCATAATTAAATAATTATTATAAGTAATAATGAAGTAATATTATTTTAATTTATAAAAATAACTAATTGAATTTATTATAAGAAATTTTAATTTAATTTTAAATGAAATAAATATAAATATTATTTATAATAAAAAGAATAGTAAAAATGTTTTTTATGTATAAATTTTATTTATTAATATAGTTATTTATTTGTCAAACAAATACTAATAATAATTAATGCTTTGAACAATTTGGTTCAGTCTAGATTATAGGCCAATCTGAAACTAAACTAATAATTTCAGTTCAGTTCAGTTTGGATTATAAATATTAAAAATGTCAATCTAAAACTGAATCAAACTGTAAACTGATAAAAATCTGAACTAAACTGATAATTTTGAATTAATCTAAAATTTTAAATCGTTTGAAACAATTAAATTTATCATTCTTTTGAAATAATAATTTAATCATTCTAATTGAACGATTCTTTATTATTTATTTAGAACGATAATTTTATTGTTCTTTTAGAATGATAATTTAATCATTCTAATCAAATGATTTTCTTATTGTTCATTTAAAATGATAACTTCAATTATTTCAAATAAACGATTCTTTTACTATTTTTTTAGAACGATAATTTAATCATTCTAATCAAACAATTTTCTTATCATTCGTTTAGAACGATAACTTCAATCATTCTAAATGAATGATAATTTTATTATTTTAATCAAATAATCCTTTTATCGTTCTTTTGAAATGATAATTTAATCATTCCAATTGAATGATTTTCTTATTATTTATTTAGAACGATAACTTCAATCATTCTAAATGAACAATTCTTTTATCATTCTTTTAGAACGATAATTTAATCGTTCCAATTGAACAATTCTTTTATCATTCGTTTAGAACAATAATTTCATTGTTTCAATTAAACGATTCTTTTATTATTCTTTTGAAACGATAATTTAATCGTTTCAATCAAACGATTTTCTTATTATTTGTTTAGAACAATAACTTTAATTATTCTAAATGAACGATTTTTTATCATTCTAATCGAATAATAATTTAATCATTTCAATTGAACGATTTTCTTATTGTTCATTTATAATAATAACTTCAATTATTTTAAATAAATAATTCTTTTATGATAATTTAATCATTTCAATTGAATAATTTCTTATTATTCATTTGAAATGATAACTTCAATCATTTTAAATGAACGATTCTTTTATCATTCTTTTAGAATGATAATTTAATCGTTTTAATCGAACGATTTTCTTATCGTTCGTTTAGAACAATAACTTCAATTGTTTTAAATGAATAATTCTTTTATCATTTTTTTAGAACAATAATTTAATCGTTCTAATTAAACGATTCTTTTATCGTTTGTTTAAAATGACAATTTCATTATTCCAATCAAACGATCCTTTTATCGTTCGATTGAAATGATAATTTAATCATTTCAATTAAACAATTTTCTTATTGTTTGTTTGGAACGATAATTTCAATCATTTCAAATAAACAATTTTCTTATTGTTCATTTAGAATGATAACTTCAATCATTTCAAATGAATGATTCTTTTATCGTTTTTTTTGGAACGATAAATTTAATCGTTTCAAATGATCTGAAATTTCAGATTAAATTTTTTACAATCTGAAATCAAACCGAAGTTGATCTAAACTGAAAATTTTCAGATTAATCTGAACCGTTTAGAGCTTTAATAATAATTTTAATATAAATATATTTCCTTTTATATTAATATAGATTTTAATTCAATTTGACATATTTTCAATATATTAAATATATAACTTATTTTAAAAGATATTTTTTCAAGTTACATTGCATATCTTATGATGTATAATTTAAAAATAAAAATTTTGTTAAAAAGTTTATAAAACTTTATTTTTCTAGCAATCTTTTTATATTTGTATTGTTATATTAATTATCATTTTTGATACAAATAATAATTTAATTTTGGTAAATAATAAATGCTGATTTTTTCTTTAACATTAATTGCTACTTAATAATGAATTTTGAATAAACAATTTATCATAAGGCAATTAGTTATATATTATAAGATCATATATACATGTTATTTTTAAATATCTAAAATGTTATTTTATCAGAAAAAACAACTTTTTTCTAATTGTATTATGAATGATTATGTGTTTAATCAAACAAAAATCTTTTGTTTTTTGGATCTTTCTTGAAAGAACAGAAACATACCAAGCTTTTTGAGCTCATAATATACTGTGTTTAGGTTAGGATCTTTTTTTTTCTAATTTGAACACTTTTTGATTCCAAAGAGACTTAACGGAATTTCGCTGTATTTCTAAAGAGCTTTGCAAAATTTCTGAAGAAATCAAAATAAAAACAAATAACCAACCTTATTTTTTTTTACTTACAGAATTCCAATGCCCAATTTAGGCATATAAACAAATGCCTATATCTGAAAAGCAACCTAGCGGTATTTTGTCGGGGACTATATCGGAAGAAGAAGTTGTAGTTGTTGTAGTAGTTGTAGTAGTAGTCGAAGACCAGGTTTAATCTGATTAATAGTTAGTTTTATAAGTGCAATTTTCATTCAAATGAGCATCTAAACCAATACCCAAATAATTACCACCTGATTTCAAACGAAATGAGAAAAAGCTGTAATATTTGAAAAAATTCTTAAATCGATCAGAAATTAAAATCAAATATTAGCCAAGTTATCACGGGAGATACCAGTCCTTGAAAACAACCTTCCAGTTCTTTGAATGCTCTTCCAGACATCAAACTAAGGGCACGATTTTGGCCTATCCTTGTGACTGCTGTTAACTGAGAATAAGTGGCATCGTTGACATTGAATCCATTACTTTGCATTAACAGGAATGTTCGTCCTGCAATGGACCAAAATACGAACTCAAATATTCATGATCAACAATAGCCATAATGGTAGAAATGTAGAAATGTTGGAAGTTCCGCAAATAATGAGAATAAAAACATCCTCATTGTCAGCTGCTTTCTTATACTCTTCATCAAAATTTCTTGAGTCACTGCTTTTAATTTTAGGAACTTTTGGAGGAGAGTTCTCCAAATAAATTGGGCAAAATGAGTCTCCGTAAGGAGCACTTGATCCATTAATAATGCACTTTTAAGATCAATTTCGTGATTATCACAAATTAACTTTCCATTGTTGGAATTGGCGCTTGATTTGGTAATTTCTCGTTGGATAGTCTTCTCTAATGATAATAATGCACTAACGTTATGATTCGCTCCAGCATGAATATCTCGTAGCTTTATTGGCTTACCACTTTCAAATATTTTTTACTTGATAACACGGAAGGATGCAATAAGTGTTCGAAATGTTGCCAATATTGGCAACAGGAGGAATGGTTGGGTCTCCGATGACTTGATGTTCTCTATAATACTCAAAATTCCAAGTAGATAAAATCTTATCATTTGATGTACCACAACCAGATATATGGACATGTCAAAGTTCCTACATCGATCATATCATTTTGTTTCTCAAATTTGATCAGCTCTAGTTTTGAAAGCTGTTCCGGTAAAATATCAGTACCAGGGATGGAATCTGATATTGATAAAGATGTGTGTGTCAGAATAGCTCGAAGAACATGTTAAATTACAAGTATTAAAAATCCATTCACTATAGCGATCCTTAAGTTGATAGTATACCGCTTCTGCAATTGAAATAAAGCTGTCATTTTCAAAATCTACATCTTGAAGCCGATTCAAATGCCTCCAATGCTCTGCCATTCCACTCATATCGTTTATTAACATATGAAGAAGTGGTGTATCTTTGAAGATTGCCTCACCCCTTTTTGGGAGGTTCCAAAGAACGAATTGGAAGAAAAATTTGCTTTTGATGAGAACGAGAAACTATTTCATTAAATGGACGTGCAAAAAGGTGCTGTACAACACGCAATAATCAAGGCGAAAAATTGTTCGTGGCAAGAAAATATCTTTGTCATTAAAGAATAAAACGATGATTCCTTACTTTGGTTGATTAGAGCGGTTTGCAATCCATCAACAATTAGGATCACAGTCGTTTCCTTTAATACTATTTTTTTTTTTTTGATTAGCAATTCTTTAAGAACATCAAGAGTTGTAAGATTTTGCTTTACAACATCAAAATTTCTGCCCATTGAAGGTCACTTTGAAACTGGTATAACATCCGTTTAACAATCGCAGCATTTGCATCGGTTTCCAAAAGACGTGTTGATTATTGTATCATTTTCTAAGGAGATGTTGAAGAAGCTTCTTGTAAACGAAGTCCCAACTCTGGATCACTTACAAACATTTTGCGGAGTATTTTAGGAATCTCTGTAGAATTTCGAGATTTTCCACATTCGGCACCAGACACCATACAAAACATAGGAGTGTTTGTTTTGTCGCGTCCATTTCTTTTGAACACATCATATAGCCCCCAAACATGCTTTTTTCCAACTTAAACGATTCTTGATAATCCCAAAGACGTCCGTCAGTATAAAAAAGTGGCATAGGAGGCCGTTCTAAATCTAAATATATGTCTTGAGCCTTGGCCAATTATTTGGATAATCTAAAATATAGAAATAAGATGTGACAACCACAAATTATTGTTTGAGAGGTAAAACATTGGCAGGATCTTACCTACGATAACGTGAATGAGATCTTCGGGCGATGCTTGATTTTCAGGTCATTCTCGTCATTTTGAAGTGAATATCGGAAATATGTCTTTCATCAACAGGGTTCTTAAGCTTCAATAACTTAAGTCTGTCTGGAGCGAAATTGTCAAACTCTGGTTCTCTAGCTTTTTTGATAACTTTATTGAATTCGGAAACACGAGTATCCTTTCCTACAGCAATGTCAAAAATAGAAGTACTTCCTCGAACCCAACACCAAAGTAAAATATGTGTGCAACAGTAGACATTATTTTGTAATTGTGGAAGAAATTTTTTTTTTCGCAAAATGGGGAAATGGTAAATATAAGGGATAATAATAATAATGGTCACGCGGATAGTTTTAATTAAGATTGATTAACTGGGGTAAACTTGTTTATATTTATCTCTGTTTTAAAGATTTTAAGACATATTTGATTGAAGATTGATCAGTCTCCGAAAAAAAAAATTACATTTTAACAAACAGAATAACTATTAAATTATTATTATTATTTATTCAACCATGACTAAATAGTCAATAAATTTTTTTACCTATGTCAATAAAAAATGAAAAATGGTAAATCCGAACATATTTTCGATTTAAAAATACTAATTTGAAGAGATAAATTCTAGCTTCTTTAAAAAGTTAAAAACTGATTAATGGATTGTTTATAGTTTAAATAGTTATATTTTCTGTATAAATGGTAATTAAATAAGCAAAAATTAGCCAATTATGTAAAAGATAACAACATTTTTAGTATAAGAATACTTAATAAAACGAACGAAATACATGCGTGACAAACCCTAACCCATGTCTACACTTGTTCATCCTTTTATTAATAAAGTAATATAAATTTAACAACACTTTGTTTCATTAACATATTAGATGAGTGTTGCAATAATAAATATGGTAAATTTAAAGAATAAGGTATTCATTCGTAAATTGTGGCATGAAAGTCTTAATAAATTGAGAAGTTTACGCGAAAATTAACGGACATATGTCCCATTATAGTGATTACATAATTACGCAACGAAAATTCATTATAAATCATTCGGAATAAACGGTTGGATTTAATTTGGGTTTGTAATATTGTTTTATATATAAAGAAGTTTTTAATACGTACGTTCTAATATGTGTAAAATTACTTAATTTATCGAAAATCAAATTAATTGATAATAGAATGCAGGATTTATATACTAGAGTACTAGATTGTGTTATACTTATTTTCAATCGTGTATTTAAGGAGGTTGATTTTTCTTTTCCCTTTTTTTTTTTTTTTTATATATATATATATATATATATATATATATTATTGATTTAGGAAAAAAAATAATAAATACACAGAAATAAGGGGTTTTGTACCTTTGATTTCTGTTTAGGTATCAAATTACAATCGTTAATCCGAAATGCATTTGAAAGATCGCTGAATTAATTAATTAATTTATATGAATACAATTGTTCGAGATCAAAACAATTTATTTCGTGTCATCGGAAAAAAAAATTTTTTTCTTTTCTGAATTCCTTTCCATTATATTCCGTAATTATGGGTTTTAAATTTTCGAGGCTTTTTAAACGTAATAATAATAATAATTATAATGATTACTATGAAGGTAGATTATTATTTGATGAAGAAGAAACTGATCGAATACAAGTGCAACACCATTATTTTAGAGAATCGTGGAATGGTAATTTTTCTTCTCCTGTAAAGGATGCTTTATGTGCTGGTGGTGCTAAAGTTCTCGATATTGGGTAATAGATGTAATCTAGACCTTTTTTTCTTCTCTTATTATTTTTTTTTTTTTTGTTTCAATTTAATCATAAAAATAAATTAATAAAGTAAACGAATGAACTTTTCTTCCTAAAATTTACCCTTTAGATGCGGGCCTGGCATATTTTTATGCGACATGGCGTCAGATTATCCAAGAACATACTTTGTTGGGGTCGATTTACTCTCTACATTTCCAAGGTTAAAGCCTTATAATGTAAGCTTTATCCAATGTAACGTTTTAGAAGGTTTGCCCTTTGAAAAAGATACCTTCGATTTGGTATATTGTAGATTTCTAATGTTAGACATCAAAGAATTTCAATGGAGAGATTTGGTTTTACGAGAATTGGCTCGCGTAGTAAAAACTAATGGTTGGATTGAACTGATGGAACCAAGACTCACCGTTATGAATCAAGGTCCCTCTACCGAAAGAATCTGTAATGCAAGTATGTATCCTGGATACCTTCCCCCCTTTTTTTTTATTTATCTCTTTTATTAAACAAAAAAGTTTTTTTTTTTCCTTCTTTAATATATTTATATAGTTCAAACTAAGGCAAGAGCTCATAATATGAATCCAAATTTAGTGGATGAATTTGAACGATGGTTAGGATTGATAAATAATATACATCATATAAATCGTGAAGTTCAACGATTACCTTGCGGTAAATGGGCCGGCAAGCATGGCGAACTTGGTGCATCGTTTATGTATAATGTTTTTAAAAAGCATTTAAAATATGTTGATAATTTAATTGGCATTCCATCAAATGAACATAAAGCCACCTTAAATGGTTTGTTACATGAATTTGATATGTATCGTTCTTATATTGAAGTGTATAGATTCTTTGCTCAAAAAATTGAAGTATAAAAAGAAAAGGAATTATAAAGAAGATTTTTTTTCATTTAAGTTTTAATTAATTATTATCATGTTATATATATCTCTTTACAAAAGTTTAAATTCAACATTAATTACATTGTTTAATAGATCTTTTCAAAATAAATACTTTTATTATTATAAATTCAAAAAAATTTTGATCTAAAAAATTTATGTCCTAGTTGATAGCTAATTCGAAATTCAAAAAAAAAAGAAAAAAAAAGGTTTCATAACATGGGCGCTTGGAAGTAGAAAGGGAGAAACTTGCATATGTATATATTTATTTAAACACCACTTAAAAAAAATTTTATATATGTGAACCAAAAAATGGGAGGATTTCTAGGAAAATCAGGTTTCGAGAAATTTTTGACGAAAATTAAGAGCTTAATGCATTTTAATCTAATAACATCAAAAACTAAAGTGCAATAAAAATCTCATTTTTTGTTAAAAAAATTCCCGGAACCTGATTTTCCTAGCAATCAACCCAAATGTGTTAATGTGAAAAGATTGGGACTGAAATAATATTGGATTTTTTTTTTTCCGACAATTTCCTCCTTTTCGACTGCGAAGCGCCCAATTCTTCTTACAACTTTCAAAAAAAAAAAAATCAAAAAAATAAATATTTTTTTCAATTGAATCAACTACGATAATGAAAACTTTTTTTAAAAGGTGGAATTAAGCTAAAAATGAGAAATCAACAAAAACTAACCACGTGAAGGATGGAATTAAAAGAAATCATAAAAACGAGGTAAAAATTAATAGTTGTTAAATCAAAAGAAAAGAACAAAATCCAAAAAAATTCCAAAGAAGAGGTAGTCAGGTTTTGATTAATTTTTAACCAGAACCTTCTCACAAACATCATCTTTAATAATAAAAATATTATTAAAGAGATGTTTGTGAGAGGGGATGTCTGGTGCATAAATTTTTCAAAAAAAAATTTTCTAAACTTTAATAATAAAAATATTATTAAAGAGATGTTTGCAAGAGAGGATCTCATGCAGATTGGATTGTCTAAATCTATTATTAAACAATCAAGTGTTGTTTTGGCAAAAAGAATTAATTGCCGAAGGTATAAATATGAAAAAAATTTCACAAAAATAAGATAACTTGCTTGGTTATCGATCGAAAGTCATTATAATTGACGAATGACGGGGGGATTATTATTATTTTTTTTTTTTTTAATTGATGATTTAATTGAAGAGGAATTATTGTTATATTTTCATTTGTTTTCATTTGTTTTAATGTTCATGATTATTTTTTTTTAAAAAACGAAAATGAGAAAAACTGGGACGTTTTATAAAGAAATTTTCACTAAGGATGACTTTTCGAATGCTAAATTCGGTCATAAAAGAAAGAAAAATTAATAACAATAACATGAAATTAACTCCTCCAACTATAATTCCGCATGCCATAAAGAGAAACAATAACATTAATAACATTGTAAGCATGTCTGCGTCTGCGCCGCAATCATTGTGATCATCTACATTCGGATTTTATTCCATCATTGATAGGGAGCTTCTAATAAAATCAAAAATCTAACTAATAAAGGAAAAAACAATAATTGAGTTTGACGCATCAAATTCTAAATGCGCAGAAATTCTCAGAATGTTTCACGTGGGAATAAAACACGCTTTAAATCGGAATTCCCGTTCGGAATATAATAACAACCTGATGTCATCGCTAATTTTATACCACTGCTTTTGTTCGTTATTTCGTTTAAATCCAATCAATCTACAAGTAAACATCATGGAATCCCTTTGTTGATCTTTTTACTTTCCTCCTTTTTTTTTCGATTTAGGTAACTTTCTTTCTTATGATCTTTCATTTCATTTGTTCTTTGTATTTCTTTATTTGTCAATCTATACGCCCAGTTTGTTTTTTTTTCTTTTTTCTAAGCCTTATCTTTCAAGGTCTACCACTTTAATTTTTACGTGTTAATTTTTATATGCCTTATATAATCCAAGCTGCGATAAAAAAAAAATATTCCCCATCTTTTAACGTTTCCTCTTTTATACAAACCAATCCCTTAACGAATAGTAATAAAAAAAAAAAAAAAAAAAATTCAGTATTTGCGGATCGACATTACATAAAATATATTGTGGCTATTTTTGTCAAACGAACATCATCAATCATGGTTACTTTATCGATCGAACAACAAAAAAAACTTCGAGATATTGCCAAAGAACGTAAAGAAGAAAATTTAAGGTTGGCATTAGAAATGGAAGTACCAATTGAACAGGTAGAATTATTTCTCGGTAGGGCAACGGTTCAACGTATAGAGAAATCCCGTGAAATTTCTGGTTTTGATTTATTTAAAAAAGATTGGTATAAAGCGAACCCGGGAAATAACCCTTTAAGGTCAAACCATTTGGTATCGGCGGCTTGGAAAGAAGTTTCTTCTCAACAAAAACAAGGTTATCATGATTTGGCCATTAAACATAATTCAAAACCTCCTACATTAAATCCCTCCGCAAGTACCAGAACAAATGAACGAAGAGGATATATGAATGATATGAAAAGATTAGCTGATATGTTATCTTTAAAATGCGGTGTTGAAACTTTTATTGTACTATCTTCTAGAATTCCTGGTGAAAATTTTGGTGAAGTTACAGGATCTGATAAGGGTCTCTTGGCCGCTGAAGATTTACGTTGGACTCAATCATCCCTAGAATTTGGTATGAAAATTCAATATAATATAAACAATGAAGGTAAATTCGTGAAAATGATCATTATTACATTTGTAAATCTCTCTAATTACTTTTATTATCCTTTAGAATCACATATACAGACTAGGCCTATTAAAAAACATAAGAGAAATATGAATGAGGGAAGACAATTTATTGCTCATCGCATGAAAGAACTATATAGAGAAGTAGTTGGTTATGGTGTTGTACCTTATTCAAATTGGGAAACTGAAAAATATAAATTTGGAATTGATATCGTTGGATGGCCCGAAGGGATACCTTTTACTGCTCACGCCTTTAAGCGTGAGCAAATGCAAGAAATAATTAATAATTTAGAACAAAAGAAAATCAAATTTATTAGTACGAAGGATATTAGAGATACTCCTCCTGACATAGATAACAATGATCATTTTAGAACCGATTTATCATTATCTGAATTAGACCTCATGAACCAGTAGAATTTTTATATATAAAGGTGAGAGTAAATACATTTTAATAGATTGATGATTATGTTTAATTATTCTTTTAGTTTTTTTTTTTTTTTTTTTTTTAATTTTAGGAATAACATTACGTGCAAATTTAATATCATCAAAGGATTGTACATAATAAGTTTAAAATTATTAAAGATTTAATAATCAACATAATATATATATATTTTTCTTCGAGAAAATCTAAAAGTTCAAACAAAATAAAGATCACCTTTTGAAAAAAATCATTAATTCACAAAAGGTTTTTCAAACAATTTATTTTACAAAATTTTACTTACGCAATTTATTAATGTTTATGACGCATGACAAATATTATTAATATTCAAAAAAAACTTTTATAACTAAATAATAATAACTGATATTAAATAAATAAATAATAATAATAATAATAACAAACAAGCATTAATTAAAGCATTTATGAATTCTTTAAATATACTATTAATACAAAAAAATTAAATGGAAAAAAAAAAAAATAATATACAAAGTTGAAAATGAAATAAATAATTAATTAATAAATATAAAATTTCTCCTTAAATCCTTCATCTATTATTATAATGCTTTCTTGCAAAGTTTGAAGGATTATATGACGCAGGATTATTATGTCTTAAAACTACTCTGCTACTAGCCATTTGACAATTATGACAATCGCATAGATGAATTGGTGTTATGCCATCATGTGGGGTAACAAACTAACAATTTAAACAATTTTAGAATATCAAAAAAACAATTATTGCTATAAAAATAACAAAAAACTTGGTATTACATACTCTATCATTCCTGTAATCAATCGGCATATTATAACTTTCATAATGATAATCTCCGCCACGTGGATTTTCATTTCGTATTGTTGTTCTTCTTTCACCAAATCGTGTCGTAATTTCGTTAACACGCCCCAATATTGGCGCTGGCGTATGTCGTGTTGAATGAGAATTCTATAATACATCGACGAGATTAAATAAAGAAAAAAATAATAATAATAAATGACAAAAGATTATGATTTAAACACTTACAGGTGTTCTCTCCTCGTTCATTAGCTGAAAACGATTTGTCATTTCACGAACTGACGAACCGCGTCTTGGAGGCATAGGGTCATTATTATTGTACGATCTTTGTGGAAAAGGCCTGTCTCTCGTATCTCTCGAATCATATGATCCTTGATTTTGCGAAGGAACATAATCATATGATTCATAATCATCATCATAATGTTTCGGACGATCATAATTTGCATCATTATATATCGTTCTTTCTCCATGAACGGATGAATTATAAATTAGACTTTCATCATGATGAATTACATCTCGGTTTGTATAACGATTCATTTCATTTATTCTTGCTTCATTATTGTTTAGCTCTGGACTTGTTTGACAATAATCGCTATCTTCATCATATTTTCTTGTAGTCGTGTATTCTTTTCTGTACTCATCACCATCATAAGAATATTTCAACGGAACTGGTGATCGAGAAGGTGATGGTATATCCTTTTTAAACGAAAGCTCGCCAGGGACATGTTTAGGACTCTCTGAATATGTTCGAGGTGGTGATTGATTTACTGAATTATTATTATTATTTAAATTAGGGATAACATTATTGTCAATTGACGATTTCTTCTCATTTATAATCTTAATAGGTCTACTTGTTTCAAGCGTTAATTTAATTCTCTCATTATTTTCTTTAGGTTTTTCAATAGGGGGCAATTCACTTTTTGTTTTTTCCGTTTCTTCAATTTTTGGTTTCTCGTTTGACTTTTCGTTTGGCTTTTTGTTAACATCATTTAAGGTTGCATTACTATTGTTAGAAATAACATCTCTATCATTCTTGGGTGGAATTGTCGGCGTTTTGAAAATGTCTTTCTGTTCGGATTCCTCATCCTGCAGTTTCGCGGGTTTTTCTTCATCCTTTTTCTTGTTATCTTTTTTCTCTTTTTCATTCTCCTTCTTGTCATCAGTCGTTACATTTTGGAACTTAATAGATCGTTCTTCTTGATTTATGGATTGATTACTAATATTTTGACTTGACACATTCTTTTCCATTTTGCTTTCCACGAAAACTTCATGTGGACGAAATTCGACAGCCTTCTCATCCCGTATGAATGGATCATCATCATCACGAACTCCGATCGAAAACCTTGAGAATAGATCTAACGTTGACGAAGGTTTTAGGCTATTATTTGTATTGTTTGAAGATTGTATTGGTGAAGAAGCCGGAGTTGAATTATCGACAGAAAGCGCCGGCTGTACTATAGGAGTTGAAGGAACTGATGATGTCGCTAAACTTGAACAACTAGTGCTTTCATTACTTTTCTTGTCATGATTATTGATTCCATCCAAGGAAAGAGAAAATGGATGAGGATACGTCGGTTTAGTAGTTTCAGGTGTCGTTATTACTGGAGATTTTTGTTCATGCGTTTGCACGTATCTCGTTGAAATGATATTATTTTCAGGTTCTTCATTAAACGGTAACCTATTTTCTTGTGAGAGGTTCATTGCGGCTATCTGTTTCTCCGCTATTGATGCAATAGATATTACTTTTTTCTCCGAAGTTATCGAACTCTTATCTGATTGTGACTGGGATGCCTATTTTAATAGAATTGAAAGTTAGACAATAATATAAATAAGTCGAATTTTTTTAAGACAGCAATAGTTTACTTGTTCCTCCAGAAAATCATCCAAGTCTTGAGGTGGTGGCATGTCCTCTCCTGCGAATGGTTCCCACTCTTTCATCTTTGTTATACTAGGTCCACATCTTTTCAGTGAATCATTAAAATAAGCAAATTGACCCTCAGCAAGTCTACAGACTATTTGTGATATAATCGAGTGCGTTCGTTTTTCACGTTTCGCCACCTTTTCGGCATATTCCTTTTGTGCCTGTCCGATATTCGAACCTAGAGTTGCAAATGATGTCATGTATTGCTATTTTAAAGAAATGGATAAAATAAAAGGTTGGAATTAACGAGATGAAAAACTGGAAGGGGATTGCAATACAAATTCAAACTTTTCCACTTTATTTACATTATGAGAATCAATGGAGGGCTTATTATCTTTATCTTTCTTTATCTTTTTTTCATAATCTTTATTCATCTTTTTCATTTGTTTGTCCAATTCTCCAACATAATCATTATGAGCCTTTTCATCTTTCTGCGAAAAATTCGATTCAATCATGATTATTATGATTATAAAACAAATAAATGATGAATGAATAATTTTTTTAAAAAAAATACATACGGCCACTTTTTTAGAATATTTTTCCCAGTATTTTTGAATAGCTTCGAAATCCTTTTGTAAAGCCTTATTCTATATATATATATATATATATATATCAAGCCAATTTTTAAATGAATTAAGTTTTATTAATTTGATCAAAATAATAAACGAATGTATAAATAAATAAATAAATAAATATGTTAAATTACCAATTTTGATTGAATCTCTGTACTATTATCGTAAAATTGGGAAGTCGTCTGAAGGCACATGACTATAAAAAAAAAAAAGATCGATTTATCATTTAAAATGTATTCAAATGATATACAATGTATAAATATATATTACATACCATGAATGCTTTCCATTCCTTTACTGTTACTATAATCTTTTAATAGCTTACTAAACGTTTTCGTTGCTTTATTTAGCTTGTTCAATATGTCCCGATAAGCGTCAGCGGCTAGAACGAGGCGTTCTAAATTATCTATCGCCTTACGAACTTCATCGGCATTAGGTAATTTATCGTCCAGCTTCTCATGAGAGTGGAAATTATTAAAAGTTATAGTGGAATTTTTTGTCGGTGACATTGGAGGAGACCCGAAGAAGGTAAGACGTTTCAATGCCATGATTTTTTAAATCTTTGTGTTGATGAATTACCGTTGAGAATATGATATATTAACAAGTCATTAGAAAAGAATATCGCGCATGAAGCTTTTAATAATTCTCATTAAAAAAAGAATTGCGTATACGTGTATTCGTGTATTCGTGCGTGCCCAAGAATTAATGTTAAGGCTTAAAAAAAAAAAAAGAAAAGAAAAGAAATATGATCAAAAGGAAAATGAATGTCAAAAAGAAGAAAGAAGTTAAAAGGAACCCCTAAACAACAGTCATTTATGTTATGGGCCAAGAGGGATTGAAAAAAAAATATTTATAGTTGATCACTGAACACAAAGGGGGTCAATTTTGTCCAAAATTGAAAGTTTTATTTACCCTTATGACGTCGTAATAGGATTTGCACCCGAATGCTTAATTTAGCAACAAATGTTTAAACTCGGATTTACTGCATAAAGGTAAAGCATTCGTCGTTCAAAAATCTTTTGGGGGATCTGAATTTTATTATATATTACCACGACATCGGGTGCATCGGTGACATTTGTTACTCCCATACTTTGGACAATCCATCCAATTAAGCTATAGCAAAATGGGGAATGATTTTAGGCATCAAAAACGATTTGACAATAATAGCATACATATATGAAAAGTATAATCATTCATTACTTAATTTTTTTTTTTAAAAAAAATTAATAATGAATAAGATTTAATAAAACATTAAAATGTGAATCCAATGTAACTTAAATTGTATAACAAGTTCTTTGTTCTCAAATTTTAACCCTAAATTTTACTATTTAAAAACTCATTTATAGAATGGATGATCTATTTCTACAATCAGACAATATGAAACTATAAATACGATTTCTTTTTTTTTTTTTTCTTTTTTTTCTTCTCTCTTTCTTTACTTGGTAACTTTAATATGACAACTATTAACTCATCACCGCAACTTACACCGGATTGTCTTGAAGATGTTTTCGATTATTTGAGATATGATCGATCGTCACTTTTCTCCTGTTTACTCGTCAATCGACTTTGGTGTCGTCTTGTAATTCATTTAATTTGGAGTGATCCTTTCGCCATCGATTCCAGCGACACCTCCCTGTCCAACATTATACAAACGTACATTTCTTGTCTTCCAGATACCTCAAGACAGCTCATCGTTAACAAAATTAGAAATACCGAGGAGAAGACGGACGAAACATCAAATGATGATGATGATTCCACGCAATTAAATTTTCAACAACCGCTTTTCATTTATCCTGAATACCTACAAAATCTTGATTTGAAAAATTTTAATGATGCACTCCGAGTGTGGCATAAGGAACATGACAAGTCTTTTGATGAATCGATTCCAGATTTCACCATTTCAAAAGTTTTGGTTGATTTCATTTTTGAGAAATGTTTAAGTATATCTCAATTAAATGTTCATCTTTGGGATAAATGGAATATACCATTATTTGAAATGAACTTTGATTTATTATTTAACAGAAAGAATGAAAGAAATGTTTTTTTTAATTTAAAAGATTTTAAATTTACTTTCCTCGCAAAAGAAAGGTCGGAAGGGTTGCCAAAATCTCATCAAATTATCGTAAATTTATTTAAAATGATGGAAAGAACATCGAACAATATTCAATCAATGGAAATAATCTTCAGATTACATCATCCACCGGAACATGTTGATCAGGTCATCGAGAACTTAATCAAGGCGCAAAAGAATTTAAAAACTTATAAGTCCAATGAATTTTGGGATTCAAAAAAACCGAATATCTATAACGTTTTGATGAAAAAGAATAATTCCCTAACTTATTTAAATTTGATAAATCTATCTTACTTTCACGAATCTTTGATCGAAGGGTTAATGGCTTGTAAAAATCTAGAAACCTTAGAATTATCAAGATGTCCTGAAATGCCTTCTCGTTACTTGGACTCTTCTCCAAAAAGTAATCTCTCTATTAAAAATTTAAAATTTTATTACTCAACGAGTTTTCCGGTGTGCGAAGAAACTTTTATTACTTTACTTCAAATGTGTAATATTAATCTAAGAAAATTGGTCGTCAAAGGGGTAACTGGTGACATCATCGACGCAATCTGTTTAAACAATTCACAAATAACCCATTTGTCTCTCTGCGCTCATCAACAAATTTTTGATCCACCACAATCTTTATCCTCTTTAACAAACTTGACTCACCTTAAATTAGGCAGTTATCAAGCGATCATTTTCGTGGATCGTACGTTACCTTATTTTATCGATTCGCTTCCTTCTTCTTTACGGCATTTGTATTTTAATTTTAATATGAGTCCAATATCTTTAATATTTTTCTTAAATGAATGTAAAATTCCTTTAAAAAGCATAGAATTTCATCAGGTTGATGTTAAGGATGATGATGTTATTGATGCCATGATTAATTATAAAAAATCAAATCAAGAGAGTTGTGAAGAGATAAGGTTATTCATAAAACAACACTTTTACTTAAGGTTGGAAGAAACGAGGAAATATGTCAACATTATTATGGATGCTTCTAATGCTCATCAACAAAATTATGACCTTTGGTAGGTTTAACTTGAAATAATTTTATTATTATTTATTTATCTTATCCTTTGCGAAAAAAAAAAAAAAATTATTTAAAATAAAGATATCAAATTTTTTTTTTTGTAAATTGAAATATAACGATTTTTTTTTTTTTTATTATTTAATAACATCTAAATAAATAATGATGCTGATGATGATGATATGACGATGAAAGTTATTTTTTTTTTTTAAAAAAAAAAAAAAAACTCACCTAAAGAAATTTTCTGACAATTTGAAAAACTTCGTAATCGCTAGCGTAAAAAACGTAATTGCCAGGAGAAATTCTATTCTCGTAATTTTTCTTTAAACAATGACCCTCCCAATGTCCTTTATAATTTCCCACCAAAGCTAGATCAGAAGCAAAACAAGGACCGTAATCCTCATATTGAAAGATTGCCTTTTTTGTTTCCTTAACCTTACTATGAATAGTGGTTAAAGGTAAATTTGAAGAATGTTTGTCATCTTGACCCAAAGAAAATATAAAACTTTTATTCGTTTTATGAAAAGCCCCTTCGGGATGAGCTTCCCAATTTAAAGGATTGTAACCACCAAGTAATTCGTCTGAATGAAGTACCTTGAGAATAGTGATAGTCGGACCCTTTAAATCACACTTTTCATGAAATATTTTGGGACCAAACCCATCTCTACTTCCCCTGACCAATAAATTAAACTCAAAAGGAATATTATATGATTGATACTCTTCATCATTAGTTAACCAACTACAAATCAATGCCGCATGTTTGGGTGTAATCAAGGTTGAATTAATATCCTGCGATGATTGAAAGAGCGTTGCAGTTACAATGTCCAATTGAGACAAATGTAATTCCAATAATTTTGCGTAGCATTCATCTCCAAAAGATCTTCTAAAAATTCTAACCTTTGAAGCGAATTCATTTGGTCGTATTAAAGAAAAATTAATATACGGAATAAAAGGTGAAATGATATTACCAAATATTGAAAAATCTTCAGGGGACCAATTTTCAATTATTAATGAAAGGTAAGGAACTTGGGCGATTGACCACTCTACGATTTTATCCCATAATTCAATTTCTCTTCTAATCAAATATCTCATTTGAAGTAGCGAGATTAAAGAGTCCTGATCTATATTAATGAAATCCGTAGAATCAAAAACGATAGAAGGTTCCCTTTCCATCGCATTTAAACAAAATTCTTGTAACTTTGTAAAGTCCTTATAATGTTCATCTTGGGTTGCAAATTTATAAATCAATGCGAAATGATTTAATAATTCATCCGTATTATTTAATAAATGATCCTCTATGTATTCTAATAGATCCGTTAAGCATAATTCTTCCGCCGCTCTTAAAACACTTATATTAAATTCGACATCGTTTTCGGGTAGATCGATCGATGCGCCATATAAATACTTTAATATGATTTCAAACACTTTTGGTGATATATTCGGTTTATTAAAGATGAATATACTTCCTTCTGTTTTCGCCCAAACATTTGATAAAGCTACTCGAAAATATGTTGAACGAGCTCGTAATACAAGAGAATGAACTTTGAAATCTTTTTCGTCATTATCTTGACCAGTATGCAAAATAACATCAAAGAATTCTCCCGTTTCTAATAATATTTTATAATCATGAGATAATATCGATAAAAAATCTTTTGACATATTGTAATGGTTTGTCAAAAAAAAAAAAAAAAAAAAAAAAAAGAGAGAAAAAAAGTAGAAATAAAAATGAAAAGAGTGTGGATTTTTAAGGAGATATTTGATGTGGCTGTAATCGTTCATACTTATATCATTTTTTTTTTGTTAAATTTTGTGTTACAAATTCTTTTTTGCATATCGAATTTTAAAAAAGAAAACAGACAAAATTGACGTGATTCTTACAACATTGGAAAGATCATTTAATTTTTTTTTTATCCGAATTTTAAAATTTTAAAAATTATTAACCACATTTGTAATAAACTATCGCCATTGTAATAATTTACTTGCTTTTTTAAAGATTTGAGGAGGTAAAATCATTTAAGGATAAGTGTGTTTATCCCTTGGATAGAATTCTAACGTGATCTGAAATCGCCTTAGAGAGGTAAAGGTGGTAAGAAAAAAAGAGAGAGAGAGAGAGAGAGAGACGATATCTACCTCTATAATTCACTTTGAACCCAAATACCACGATTGAGAGAACTTGATTTTGTAGCACCAACTTTAATAACACCAGACTACAAAGTGATAAACCTGCAGAGTTTCAACCAAATGGAAAACAGATATTCCCAAACAAATAAACAACTTATTGCGCCAATTCATTCCATTGAATTTTGGGTTTTTTTTTTTTTTTTTTTTTTCTATAAAAAGAATAATAAGAATATTTGGTTTAAAAATAAATGAACCCTAACTATGAATGGAAAATTTTCTTACATAAACTGATACCATACTGTTTAGTGAATCTTGAAACGGTTTATGTTTGGTGATGAGAATCTAGGAAATGAAAAATTGAATTACTCTTGCCAATAGTTGAGACGTGTAATAATATTTACATAATACAATCTAAAATAAAATAAGGTTATTATTACCATTGAACGGCTTTCTTTAAATTTAATTTAAAAGGAGCTAGTATTTCTTTTTTTTTTAAACTTTCTATTGCAAAGGTCCCGTGTGCCTTTTTTTTTTTTTTTTTAATAACAAATATAATAATAATAATAATAATAATTGCGAACGATTAGAAAATGTATTCATTCATTATTATTTTTAGGGATATTAAGCGGTACTAAAAGTCCCAAGGAAATTACAAAGAATTAATTTATTAACCTTGACTATTAATGAGCTACTTAATGAAAATAAATAATAAACCCTCTTGGGATCCCAGAATTTCTTAAAATTTAAAATTTTAGGATTTAAGGCTTCTCTAGAATTAGTAATCTCTAAATTCGTAAGGACCGGTTAACATCCCTAATTATTTTTTATTTTTTTTTTGTTTATACTTCACGAGAATTTCCAAATTCTTCGTTGTTTACATTTCAATTCTTGGATTTTTCAAGAAAAATCTTTATTTTTTCTCATCTGCACGACAAAATAAACTTTTTTAAAATAGAAGAACAATGATTTATAGCAAAAAGTGATTTCTAAAAATAAAACAAACAAATAAACAAGTAATAGACACGTAATTTAATGTTAATACCTTTATGTTCTCTCTGATTACAAAAATAGCAATTATTATGTAACAACAAGGTTTCTTTTATGCGTGTCGTCCTTTATTTCTACACAACGTAAAGTTTACATAAACATAAAGTTGGTGTAATTGGTAACAATGTCATGCAAAAAAATATGGTTATTTTTTCTTTTTCTTGTTGAAAATCGTGGCATATATGCATACCTTATTTATTTGAACTCGTAACGAATTTTGGATTAGACGTTGGCGCAAGGGATTGGAGTCGTAGGGTTAAGGGCAGTGTTGGCATTTGGCCACGGCCGAGAAAATTTTGGTCATTTGGCCGTGACCAATGGCCAAAATGGGCCAAACAGCCAAATTTTGGCCAAAAAACTAGTTATTAACATATGTATTAAATACTTATTAGAATTTGATTGGCATTTGGCCGCGGCCAAGAATTTTTTAGCGGCCAAACGAGCCCAAAGCCAACACTGGTTAAGGGTCTGTTGGACTACGTACATTAAGGTTGAGTAGTGTATGTCGCGTGAAATGGTGTATCCCTAACATTAACCTACCAGCATTAATGTTAAACTCCTAGCTTAATAGCATAACTAATCGTGTTAGTCACATGAACTTATACTACGCCACATAGATGTTTGTTCGAGAAAAAGAGTAACAAAAGGATTTTTACCATCGAAGCTCTAGAAATAATTAAAAGTGAGAGGACAAATTTAACAAAAAAATTATAAAGTTACCGTCACCACATAGCTAGGATCTATTTTTACGGAAAAGGATTAATTTGGAGGTTTAGGGTCAGTTTATTACCGGTAAAATAAAATCTTGACTCATTTTCTCATTTTCTCGAGGTTGCAAGCAACAAAAGAAACGAAGCTAGTCAACGTTTAGTTATAAAAGCAACCATTTCTTTTCTTCATTTTTTTTTTTATTCATACTTACTAATATCATGCATATCTAATTTTGTACCCTAATTTATTTAATAGGTTTCAATGATTTTTCTCATGAACCATACCTTTCATCATTTTATTATTTCAATTTTAGCGATGCATGATATACACATTATTTGTAGCTCTTTCATTTACGTTCTCGAACACGTCAACTCACTGATGATTATTGAAATCATTATACATCATCAATGTGAGGATATAATATGTAAATCCCTCACTATTAAGTGGCTTACAAAATTAAATGCATAGGTTTAGTTTCAAACATATCAGGTCGGGTTTTAAAATTTTTATCTTTTTAACCTTATTAGTAAATGCTGAATCAATCCCTAACGTTTAAAGATAATAAAATTTGGATTTACATTCATTTTGAACGATCAAAAGTATCGTGTCGGAAACTCGCAATGAACATGAATTTTAATTAGTTCAATAAAAACTTTAGAAAAAAAAAATAAAATTGAATAATAGAAAGTTAATCTTCATTGAATTTCAATTTCAATATACAGTACATTCATTTATTAAAATCTTAACAATATGACATGACGCCAAGCCCTGTATCACAATATTAATCGAGTTTTAAAGGAACATAAATAGAGTTTACCTACAATTGAGGGGCACAAACGAAATTTCTTGTTTTCTCAAATATCAACATTTTATTTTTTTTTTTATCATGGTTCGGCCGTCAAACTTTCAAATCGAACAAATTTGAAAACTTCCTAAACTATAGAAAAAAAAAATTATATGCACTCACTTAGGAAAAGTGTTCGAAATCATTTGGATTACCTTGATGGAAGATTCTTTTGAGCCACATATTTATTGGTGATCACCCAAAAGCGAACAAATTATTTGATTGAAATCCAAAAAAGACGATGTTAATGATGTTCTTAATGTTTTGTTTGGTTTAAGTTTAAGATCTGAAACAAGCATGAGAGGCTTTTGCGAATAACTTTCGTATTGTTGTCATCGAATGTCAAGCCACATTCTTTCATATTTAATGGCTGGAGATAATGCATTTAAAAATGTGGTGTATCCCGAAGTATTCTAAATTTAGAACATTAGGAAAAAAAAAAAAAATAAAAGGTTTCTTTTGACATACTGATAATTAATATATTGTATTGTTATAACTTGTGGCGAATTCATGATTCATTAGCACGTTGACGTTCCGTGTGAGATTTAATGTAAATAAAAAATGTAACCTTAACCTTTAAATAAAGAATCTGTTTCGGAAATAAAAATTCTTTTAAGAGAAATTAAAGATTATGATCATCAAACCTTTGTCGGGCATAAAAAAAATTATATATATATAAAAAAGGTTAATGAAACAATGTATATCCTGTTTCATGATTAGTGATTTGTTACTTTCCATTAGGAAAAAAAAAAGATGCGTTAGAGTCGGACGAAATGACTTTTAGGATTAGCCACAAGGCCTTCTTGAACAAGTATACTCAACATCCTATTTGGGTAAATAAGTACAAAGGTGAAACTACAATTAAAAACCGAACAAGGCATTTAGATTACACAAGTTAACGGCCGAATAAGGAACATGATAATCCTATTCTGAAAATTGTTATAAAAGGACCAAACCCAATTCTCAAAACCCTCATCAAAAACTTTCAAAAGCAATAACCAAAGCCTTCATTTTATTCTTTACCCTAGTGGTCTTCCCTTCTCCTAGCACACATTTCCTTATTCACTGCGTGGATAAATAAAAAAAAAAAAAAAAAAATCAATCAACCAATCAATCAATCAATCGTAAAACCTTTTTTTATAGAAATATTTACTAGAATTCAAATATGGTTGCTCCACGCTTCAACAAATTCTTCTCCATCGCTGTGCTAGTTGCATTCTTGATCTCCTCGGTTGAACCGAAAGGAGAAGTTGAATGCCCTCCCAAATCCCAAACCAAACAATACGCTGAAGAAAAAACCGAAAAATATATCGTTGTCTTTAAAAATGAAGCTTCTGCTAAAACTGAAGAGTCGATTATGGAAAGGCATTATAAGATCATGAAGGAGTGTTACAACAAACGTGTAGAACACGTACTCGAAAGTAAATCATCATCGAATAGTAAAGATAAAGACGTTCTTAGAGATTTCTCTATCGGCACCATCCAAGGATATTCCGCAAATTTTGGCTCTTCTTTCGTGAAAGAACAACTTAAACAAATGAAAGGTCTCGCTATCATTGAAAAGGACGCTAAAGTCAGAATTAACTATGCTGTCCCCCAACTTTATAAACGTGCAGTAGTAAAAAACCCAACACCAAATATTGATCGTATCGATCAAGCAAAATTTCCCTTGGATAAATCATTTACATTCCCGGATACCGCTGGAGAAGATGTTGACATTTACATCATTGACACTGGTATTACAACCTCGCATAATGAATTCGGAGGCCGTGCCAAGAGCGGAGGTGCTTTCTGTGATGGTTGTAATGAAGATGATGAAAATGGTCATGGTACCCACGTCGCTTCCATTGCTGCAGGAAAAACTTTAGGAGTGGCCAGAAAAGCCAATCTCATTGCTATTAGAGTTTTGGACGCTGACGGTAGTGGTTCAAATGCCGGTGTTATTGATGGTATGACCGCTGTAATTGATCAACACAATAAGAGTCAAAACAAGAAATCAGTTGTCAACATGTCTCTCGGTGGTGGCTTCTCGGACGCTGTGAACACTGCTGTTAAGGCTCTTACCGATGCTGGTGTTCATGTTGTTGTCGCCGCCGGTAACGAAAATGCAGAATCTTGCACTAAATCACCTGCATCTGCTAAAACCGCTATCACCGTTGGCGCTACCGAAGCTAAATCCGATGCCATAGCAAATTTCTCAAACTTTGGAAAGTGCAATGATATTTTCGCTCCAGGTGTTGACATTACTGGTGCTGACTTTAAAAATGATAATGGTAAAATAGTTTTCTCTGGTACCTCCCAAGCTTCTCCACATGTTGCCGGTACAGTAGCCCTTGTAATTGCTAAAGATGGTAATAAATCACCAGCTGCAATGGCAAAAGCGATTGTCGCTTTATCAACCAAGGGTGTTGTTAAAGGTCTCAAGCAGGGATCTCCAGATGCGTTCTTGCGTGTTCCAGCTGCATAAAATTGAAAAAAAAAAATTTGTAGATATATAGAGGGGGTGGTTTTTTTTATAGGCTTTGGTTAGATTTTTATTTTCATACCTTAATCACTTTCTTTTAACCTTTCTGTTTTATTTTTTCTTGTATTAAAACATACCTGTTAAATAATAATTAATTTGAAAACCTTGTAGAGTAAGAAAAAATTGTTAAAATACAATAAATAAAAAAAAATTATTTAAAAAAAAATATATCTATAAGTTGCAAACAGTATATAAATTTTTGCTAGTAAAATTGTTCAAAAAAAATAAATATGCAAGTCTCTAAAGGTGCAAAATTCGAGAATAAGAATAATTAACTTTGTTTCCATATAAAATTAGATCGATTAATAAACGACTTTTTTATTTTAACGATGAGGCTGGATCTTTATTTATAAAAAGAAGATAATCTTCCTCGCATACGATACTATAGCGAAACGTTAAAGCTATCTATCACAAACTTTGGAATGTACTATAAAATTGACATGAGAAATAGATTTGTAGTTATTAAAGAAATTTAAGTCCCTTTAAATATCTCGCAAAAATTAATATATATTTATGATTCAATAAATTGAATTTATAGTAACACCTTTAATATATTTTATCATATTATTTAAAAACGTATCAATTATTGAAATTATATACTGATTAAAATAACCATATTATTTTGGTTTAGGATAATAATAAACTCGTAAAGCTATTATTACTCAACCAATTTGACATTTATATTATTACTTAAAATTTATTATCTAGCTTAACATGAATTATTTTTTTTTATTACATCACATTCAGCAAGTTATAAATATTGATTTCTTCATTTTGGATTGGTTTTTTGAAAAACGAAGAAACATACAAACATTAGAATTTATGATAAAAAAAATATATTACTATAATCTTAATGATAAAAAATTTAAATTATATTGCACTAAATAATTATAATATTCACAAATGTTAGATATTATTTATGAAGAAGGGGATTACAAAATGAAATGAGGATGATGAAAATTTAACTTTAAATAAATTAAAAGAATCATTATCATTACAAAACGTTGATAAAAGGTTAAATATTAAAAATTTAATATTCTTAAGATTATGAATATATAAATAATACTATGTTTCTAACTATTATTCATATATAATAGCAAAAAATAAGATGAGGAGTGGGATCCTAAAGAATTAGTTTAAATAATTAATTTAATTACCAATTTTTCATTTATTTTTTTTAAATTTCTAATTAATAAAGTTTATTTTATTCTTATAATACAATTTATTCAAAATCGTCAAAAAATTATTTTATTATATTTAACAATTTAAATTAAACTATAAATATAAAAAATTTACTTATTTTTTTATAAAATTCTATACTTAATTATTTTTATTATAAAAAAAAAAAAAAATAATATATCATGTAATTAAATTATAAAATTAATTTACAATCTTATCATATAATTATAAAATAATATTTTTATTTTACTTAAAAATTTTTTCATTAATATCTTTAATATCATTAGAATTTAATTTTAAAATATTACCTTTTTGTTATACTATATATAGACGCTTTACAATAAAAAGAAAAGAAACTACTAAGAAAAATTTTTTTGAGATAATATTAAATCTGAATTTATTTTACTAAAAAAATGATATTTAGTTTATAAAATAAAAAAAATATTTTTGGTAGTTTTCTCTTTTTCTATTATAAAGTACTTATATTTTACTGTTAGCATGTAATTATTACAAATTGTAATAGTTAGACAAAGTATCAAAAGTTAAATAAGTTAATAGTTTTGTTATTACTGTAAAGTATATTTATATCTTGATAAATTAATAAAATATTGATTTTATTACTCAAAAGATTATATAAAAGTTACAAGTTAAATCAAATAGTTTATTCATAAAATTAAAAAAATAGATGATAAAATAATAAATAAAAAAATAAGAAAAGAAAAAATATAATTATACATTTAACTAAGAGTTATGCATATTTTTAAAGGTAATCTGATTAAGATGCATCTAGCAACTAATAGTTATCCTTTTCTATTATAAATTTAATCTTCTATATATACTTTTAATATTATATCTAAGTATATTAAATAAATTAATATATTTAACATTTTCAATATTTAGTATTATTTACATTTATAAATTACATAATTATTATTCTATAATACTATATAAAATTTTTTATAAACATTCATTTTTTGTTAATATAATTTTACCAAATAAGAAATATATTAATTACTTTTTGATTTGAAATTTTATTTTAACTTTTTAGTTTTTGTTATTTTGCAATATAAGTTAAAAACTTATTTTTATTCTTTTTTTATAATTTTTAATTTATAAATATTAATTATTAATTTTTAAATTAAAGTAATAGTATTTTATTTTTTAATATTTTTACTTTTTAAAATATCTAATATTTTTATCTTATTTATATAAATTTTATTCAAGAATTTTATCACAAATATAAAAATTAACAGATATATATATAATAAATAATCTAATAAAATGTATAATTACAGTCAACTCTTGTTATAACAAACTCTATGTCCTAGACCTCAACTTCGCTATAAGACTATAGTGAAGATTTTAAGAGATTTGATTGATCAATTCATTATAATAAGAGTATTTTTATTATATTTGTTCAAAAAATTCATTATATCAAAAGTTCGCTATATCAAGAGTTGACTGTATAGATTAAAATATAATATAAGTATATTATTTGAAAAATTTCTTTGTTACATATAAAATAAGGATTTGGAATATAATTTTCAATTTTTTATAAGTTTATCAGATACTTGTTTTAAATAAAAATGCATAGATTTTATGATAGTTTTCATTTTATTAATATTTAAAAATATCAAATAAAATTATTAAAAAAATGCTTTTTATTTATATTAATAATAAAGAATTTTTTTTTTTTTGAAAAAAAGCTAAATAAAATTATTTCTAATAATTAATAATAATAAAAAAATAAACAATTATAATAAATATAATAAATAATAATAATAATAATAACAATAAATAATGAAAATAATGATAACAATAATAAATAATAATGATAAATAATGATTTAAAAATATTTATATATTTTTTTTATAGGATCTATTTTTAATCTGATTAAAAGGTTTAACAACTACATAAATATTATTATTTATTTTTAAATATACTTATCTTTAATTATTTAAAATTAATTTTAATTTTTACAAAAAAATTAAATTTTAATTAAAATAAAATTTTTTTATTATTTTTACTATCATAATAATTTAATTTATCAGATTATTATTATATAATCTTTTTAAATATTATATATATGCAAATTTTTTTATTTAATTTGTTAATATTTATTAAAATTCTAATTAATTATATTTTTTAAATTAATATTTATAGTGTAGAATTAAAAAATTATAAAATAATATATTATATAATTAATCAATAAAAAAAAAATATAATAAAAAATTTATAACATTAAAAAATTAGAAAATAATTAATAAAACAAAGGGTTATAATTTATAAATAATTAATTGAAATTACATGTTATAGATAATAAACCATATAACACAAAATAAAGTTAAATTATATAATAAGTAATACAAATATATCATAAAATAATAAATAAATTATAAGTATTATGCAGAAATTATCAAAAATTATTTTTATTTTATAAGCTAAATATTATTTTTTTAGTAAAATAAGTTCAGTTTTAATATTAATCCAAAAAAATTTTTTTGGTAATTTCTGCTCTTTTTATTATAAAGAATCCATATTTATTATTTTTATATTATATTATTATTTTTCTTTTATTTCAATAAAGTATTTCTTTATTTTTTATTATAAAAATCATTACTCAGTAATTAAAACTACTCATATTTAGTAAACTTAATAAAATTATTGGTAAAATGACTAAGATTAATATCAAACTATTTTGAAATTTATACGTAAACTTTAAAAAAATCAATTTTTCTATATTACATCTAACTGTTATAACCTGAAAAATTGTATATTAATAATATTAATACAGTAGCAGTCATAAGTATTCAACTGTCTAAGATTGTTCAAAATTATTATATAACTACCTCTTAAATTTTTCAGGAATATAATATAATACAATACATGATTATTAGTAAATTTATAAGTATCAAAGATACAAAAAAAATTTAGATGATCATCAAACTTTCGCTTGAAAAATGGAGCTTTCTTTAAAAAAATGATATAAAATTATCTTTTTACATAAACATCTAGCTGGTCTAAAGTTTAGTTTTAAATTTATTGCTAAACAGGTACATTATAGTAAGTCTATAGCTATTTATTAGATTAAAAGATATTATGAAAATCAGGATTTAAGTATTTTAGAAAAATCAGAATAGCCTTATATAACTACTGCGAAATAAAATAACAAGATTGTAAGATGACAGAGAAAGAACATAATATAACAGCCATTCAAATACAAGAAAAAATGAAAAAAAAGGTATTAGGTTTAGTGTAAAAACAATAAGGTGACGTCTTTATAAGTCTGAAGAAAAGTTTAGTAATGAAATTTTTAAACCTTTACTTAAAGAAAACTATCAAAAGAAAAGGTTGCAATAGGTAAAAAAATATAAGAATTTTAATTAGAATCGAGTTATTTTTATAGATGAGAGTATATTTTAATTATATACATTAAAAAAAAGGTTTAGCAATTTTTTGCTAAAAAAAAAGTGTTTCGTTCTGTTAAGCATCTACTAAAAGTTCATATTTGAGATGTTTTTTTGCTTCTAAATTTGGTAAGTTATTTGCTTTCAGAGAAACCTTAATGCTAAATTTATGTGTATTATTTATGAACAGGATCTTTTGGCTTCCACCTCTAAACTTTTTAGTACAAGTAATATATATTGGATCTTATAAGAAGATAATGATCCAAAGCATCAATCAAAAATCACAAAAAAATAGAAGAAAGAAAATGACAATAAAGTACTTCCTTGACCATCAATGTCTCTAGACTAAAACTCTAT